CCCCCCGCAGCGCGCGAGTTCCTCCCCTCCCCCCACGGCCTTGTCCCTCCCCCCGAGTGCCCTGGGCTAAGTCTGTGCCATGTAACTGACTTTCCTCACGTGCCCGAGTCCTCGCGGCCGGGGCCAGAGCCAAAGTTCCCTCGAATCTTTTCCACCCGCGTGCGGATTTCCCCCTCTCTCTGTGCGGAATCAGCTCTGTGCAGCGAGGCTTGTGCCCATGTGCACCACCAACAGAGACACGAAACTAGCTGTGGGCGCTCTGCCTGTCAGCGGGGCGGCGGGCAGGAGCGCACAGCTTACAGGGAAGGGGCTGTCAGAGCCCAGGCCACCCGCGCAGGGTGAGGGAAAACCTGGTCAATTAAATAGGAAATCCCTATTCAGTTTGTCAGGCATGTGTAATTGAAGATTAAGCTAGATGGGACCCGTCGCCCCCCCTGCCTCTCCCTGAGCAAATCCCTTGTAAATTGGTGCACTAGCAGTCTCTCACCCGTAGCGTTTCATCCCTTAGTCCTATGCTGAATTTGTCAAGTTTCAATTTCCAGCCCTTGGCTTTTAGACTGAAAAGTCCATTCCCCAGTATTTCCGTTTCTCTTTAACAGATTAAAGGGAGCATGATTTTCCGGAAATGCTTTTAACGGAAAAGTTTTCCGTTAAAAGCATTTTCGGAAAAGCGCATCTAGATTGGCAGGACACTTTTCCGCAAAAGCACTTTTTGCGGAAAAGCGTCCGTGGCCAATCTAGACGCGCTTTTCCTCAAAAAAGCCCCGATCGCCATTTTCGCATTTTGCGCAAAACAAATCTGAGCTGTCTACACTGGCCCTTTTGCGCAAAAGGGACTTTTGCCCGAACGGGAGCAGCATAGTATTTCCGCAAAAGCACTGACAATCTTACATGAGATCGTCAGTGCTTTTGCAGAAATTCAAGTGGCCAGTGTAGAGAGCTGGCAAGTTTTTCTGCAAAAGCAGATAATTTTGTGGAAAAACTTGCCAGTCTAGACACAGCCTCGGTGTAAAGCTAGAAAAGATGCTTGTAAACCAAAATAAGAGCAGTGACTGGTCATTTCATAGAATCAAAGAAAACGAGAATGGGAAGGGGCCTTGAGAGGTCATCGAGTCCAGTCCCCTGCCCACATGGCAGGACCAAGCACTGTCTAGATCAGGGCTGGGCAAAGTATGGCCCGTGGACCACTCTGCCGGGACCCTTAGGCACACAGCTATGGCTTAAATCACAGGCCATGCTGCTCTCTGCTCTGCAAGGTGGGGGAAACTTTGTGTGATCTCCAGGCTCCCAGCCCAATCCTCAGATCCTATAGGTTGGAAATAATTGGCCAGTAGGAATTGACCCCAGCCAATCTCTCAGCTCCTATTGGCTGGAAACAACCAGTCAATAGGAACTGAGAGATTGGCTCAGAGGATGTTTCCCTTTCCAGAGCTGAGAGCCACCTGGAGGAAAAAAGCCTGTAGTTTAAAGTGATCTGGGGCTACAGCAGATGGGGAGCCCAGCCTGTCTTAGAGGTGCTGCAGGGCTGTTGGTTTAGGTAAGAGCCTCCTAGTCAGAGCTTGCCTCTGCCCCTCCCACACCCCAACTCCCTCACCCAGGTCACCATCCAAATCCTCTGCATTCCCCTGCCCCAGGTCACAACTCCCTCTCAGACCTTGTACTCCCCCACACTCCTCCCTCAGACAAGAATCCTCTCCTGCACCCAAACATCCTCCCAGACCCTGCAACCCAATCCTCTGCCCAAAGTTACCACCCATACCCTCTACAGCCTGCACCCACATTTCCCCTTCTCCCAGATCACAATTCCCTTCCAGACTTTGCCCCCTCCCACAGCCAGAATCCTCTTCTGTACCCATACTCCCTAACTGAGTTTACACCACAATCTCCTGACACAGGTCACAACCCACTCCTTCACCCAAACTCCCCTTCAGACCTTACACCGTCTCCTGCACCCCAGTCCCTTACCTTGTTTGCCCTTCTGCACCCAACCTCCACTCTAGACCCTACATATCCTTCACAGAAAAGTGAGGTCCTTGACTACTTTCCAAAATCTGGAGTTCCCGCCCCCTCACCAAAAATCTTTGCCCACCCGGGTCTAGATCATCCCTGATAGATGTCTGTCCAACCTGCTCTTAAATATAGCCAGTGATGGCGATTCCACAACCTCCCTTGGCAATTTATTCCAGTGTTTAGGAAAAACTTCCTAACAGTCAGGGTAATTAAATGTTCAACCTAAATCTCCCTTGCTGAAATTTAAGCCCATTGCTTCTTGTCCTATCTTGTGCTCTACCAGAGGCAGCTGCGTGCGGGTGTAGGTGGATCCAGTACTTCCGAGGAGCCTGCTTAAAGCTAGCTCCTCATGGGCACTGGCTCCCATTCCGCCTCCCCTTGCTGCCTCTGATACAGAGACAACAAAGGGGGGCAGTGCATGTAGTCATTAATATTAACCAATAAGACAAGGCTTATTAGTTAATCATGTAGTGGACTACACATTGACATCCCTAGTTTGAACTCCAACACAACTCTACACACCTAAGTAGTGCCTCCTTCCAGCTTCACTGCTGGTTTTTTAGCAGCATTGTGTCCCCTAGCAGACTGCCAGAGCCTGCCATAATGAAAGACTAGCAGCATGAAAAGGTTCCAGCAGTATAAGGTTAGATAGGTGTATATAAAGAGTTTAATTAGTTCGTCTAAATAATATATATATGCTTCATAGTTTGTGTAAAATACAGATGCTTAGCAGTTGTGGGGAAGCCTTGAAAAGTGCTTTGCTTAATTGAAAATACTAGCCTTGGAATGTGGCTTCATTGAAAAGTACTGATAAGATAGAAAAGCCCCAATTATCAAGGTGGCTCTGACTGATTTTAGTAAAGAAATGAATTCAAGACGCAAAGACCTTAGTCATGTAGATTCCCATAATAAGGTATAAATGAGTAAAGTTTTCAGATTTTCTTACTAGTACCTGCTGTCCAGTTAGAACCAGCCATCATAAGTTTGAGCACCCTAGGCCCAGTCCTGTTATAAATATCTGATCAATGCTTGTAATTGCATGCTGCTGTACAGGTGTAATTATTGCTTAGGCACTTAAGTCATGTTTGGATTAGGGCTGTAAGTGACTAGTCGAGTTACTACTTGACTACTCGACTTCCCCTGCCCCCTTGCTGCCTCTCTGTATGAGGCAGCAAGGGGATGGGGGGAAGCAGAAGCTGGTGCTGGAAGAAGCTTGCTTAAAAGTTAGTTTGCCCCAGCACCATCTCAGCAGGACAAGGGATGGGGGACATGGGAGGCAGAAGAGACAAGAGGCTCAGCGGTTTGGGACCCACCACGAGCCGGGACTGCTCAGTCCTAGTTTGCATCAGGTCCCAGACCCAATCCTGCTTCAGCTCTGCATTTTAAACTTAGTAGCAGCCTTGTTGCCTGCGGACTCGGCTCCTACTACATTTAAACTGCAGAGCCACAGCACAGGTAGTTCCTGGATCTGGAATGATCCGAGACAGAGCACCTTCTCTTATCAACTAATCGTGTAATTGATACAAATTGTGTTGACTACACAATTGATCAGTTCTTAACATCCTTAGTTTGGATAAATACCATTCATCCTTTGAATTTAATAAAGCTTTTTATCATAATGAGAATGTGATGATATCCTGGATTGACAATAATAATTCCAACAGGCAGCTCCCAGATCTGTGTAGCTACTCAGATTGTCACTGTGGTGTGCATACTTCTATCTATAGTAAGAATTAGCCTTAGTAACCCTAAGAGTTGGTATTTAGTTACTGTAACAGTAATACTAGCTGCACCAAGATCATATGTCAAACTATGTATGAGAATCCATTCTGAAAACGTGAATGAAATACCTAGGAAGAAAACCATGAACACCAGTTCTCCTTTTTCTTAAGGACAACTGGGGTGAAATAACTAGCGCTATTCTGAAAAAACTTAGTCTACATCTACGCAGCAGGCAGTTATTTCAAAATAGTGTCAAAATACTGTCAAGCTGGAGGACTTCTTACTCCAACTCCTGTAAACCTCATTGTACGAGGAGTAAGGGAAGTCAGAGAAAGAGTGCTCTATTTCGAAATAAGTTCTGTGTAGATGCTCCCTATTTTGAAATAAGCTATTTTGAAATAAGATAAGCAATTGACATAGCTCAATTTGTGTAGCTTATTTAGAGTTAAGCCCTGCAGTGTAGATGCACCCCTGGATTGCTGCGGACAAAAGTAACTCCTGACCAACTAATTATATATCATTGAAAGCCAGTAAGGACAGGTTCAAGATAGAAGCTCTTCCTTAGTAGCTGAGTAGGCCACTGAGAAAGAAACTGCATTGAGAACATAAAGTGGCTTTGTGGTTGGAAGGTCATTGTTATTTAGAGCCGGATTAGTTTGTGCTGATCAGCTTCTGCTGGGATCATGATTTATAGTCATTTAATTTTGAAAAAGTAGTGTTAACCACTGGAATGAGTGGGTGCTGTTGAGGGTTGTCTGACCTCCAGGATTGCCCTGGGAATCTTCAGCAATTAAAGATTAATTTTTAATTAAAGATTATGTATTAAACCTTCCAGGAAGACATCCAAGCAAAGTTGCAATCCTAATGTTGTCTCCTGTCGTTTGACGTGTGACTTTGTAACAGATCCAGGTCTATAATAAAAGTAGCCTCTGAGTAAGGGTCCAAGATCCATGACATCATGGTAGAAGTCCAGACAGTGGTGGCATCTTCCCTGAGTAGTGTGGCCCCTCATTTTACTTAAGTCCTCTGGTCTAGTCCCATGGCTGTTAGGTATGTGGTAGTTTTTAAGCCCTATGTATGAGGGAGTGTGAGAGATTGACTAGATAAATTAGGAAAAATAGGGCCTTGAGAGAATAGAGAGGGAATGAATAAAAGAAAAGTTATTGTAAACAACACAGGAAAAGATATTATAGAAAAGAAGAGAGGGGAAATGGAGTGATGCCAGGAAGGGAAAACATGAAACAAAAGCAAAACGGGGTTAATGCTTGTCTATACATGAAAGCTAAAGCAGAATAAGCCAAAGGGGTGGATTAACTATATCTGAGTAACTGCATGTGGACAGTCTTATTCCAGAATGAAAGTATGTTATTCCAAATCATTTTAATCCATTTTGGAAGTAGATTAGGTTTAGCTATTCTGGAATAATTCCCCATGTAGAGAATCCTATTGTAAGTTATTTTTAAAAAGTTGATGTTTTAAAGTTAGATATAGTGCATTAAAAGTAAATTGTTTAATCATTTTACATTTGCAGGGAATGTGGTCTCAGGGACATTGGTGGCATGCATTTTTCACTTTGACAAGCACATTCAGTTTTCAGGCTAGTAAGTGTAGAGTTAATTTTTCAAGCACTATGCTTATATAATATCATAAACACAGTGTCTTATACCACTACTATACTATACAAGATAATATAGTATAGTATAACAACAGTTCATATTTACTGGAAGACAACCACCCATCCTTCAGGAGGAAGTAGCTTGATGACCAGTGGTCATCAACTAGTAGGTCGGGATCTACCAGTAGATCTTGGAGACTCTGACAGGTGATCCTGTTTGGCCAGGAAGCTATCAAGTACTGGCACTTCAGTTGCTCCACCATCCACTGTCATGCTGCTTCTGCCCTCTGCCTTGGAGATACCCTCGTGGGGTATTTCACATAGAGAAGGGGCTAGAGGGACCTTGGCAATGCAAATCTCTGTCACTCTCACAGTGTGTGTATCTATCATTCTCACAAACACACATAGTGCTTCACTCTCATTCAACATATAATTGGGTTGTTGTTGCTTCTTTTACTGCTTGCAAAATGTTTAATTTTTGGTTTTTGACAGGTCTGTGTATTTCATAATTTTCATTTCTCTCTTATGCTTAAATTTTAATTTTTTGAGTAGTGAGTTCTAAAATGCGTAACCTGTCATGGCTGGAATAATTTTCTCTGTAGTAATTGCTGCTCCTGTAAGTGGCTGGCATGTCCCTGCAGCCAATGAGAAAAGCGGAGCAGGGGGTCTCCACATACTGTCCTTGTCTGCAGACACCATTCCTGCAGCTCCTATTGATCAATAACAGGGAGCCACGGCCCATAGAAGCTGTGGGCTCAGTGCCTAGGGTTGCCAGGTGTCCGGTATTTTCTCCTCCTGTCCAGTAAAAAAGTTCAGAAAATACCAAACACCTAAAATGTCTGGTATTTTCTGAGTTTTTCCCCCTGCCACGAGGCGAAAATACTGGACAACTGGCAACCCTACAGCACAGTTGTATTTTATTTATTTATTTATTTGCTTAATAACCCTTGGGGTTTTGCTCATCAATTTTGGTCTCCCCCTTTTCCCTTCTCCTCCCAACAGAATTTTTTCCCCAGTGGTTTTTTTGGGGGGTTGAAGTGGGGGGTATTTTTGGTTAAACCATCTGGCAACCCTATTCAGTATTTTTGGTTAAACCATCTGGCAACCCTATTCAGTATTTTTGGTTAAACCATCTGGCAACCCTATTCAGTATTTTTGGTTAAACCATCTGGCAACCCTATTCAGTATTTTTGGTTAAACCATCTGGCAACCCTATTCAGTATTTTTGGTTAAACCATCTGGCAACCCTATTCAGTATTTTTGGTTAAACCATCTGGCAACCCTATTCAGTATTTTTGGTTAAACCATCTGGCAACCCTATTCAGTATTTTTGGTTAAACCATCTGGCAACCCTATCAGTGCCTGTAGATGAGGGGCAGCACATGGTGCCATGGAGCCATTGCTGTACATGCCAGCTGCTTTCAGGAGTGGTGCAGTGCCAGGGCAGGAGTAAGCCTGCCTTAACCCCACTGTTCCATCACCCGGAAGCCATCTCAGTTAAACAGTGCCCAGAGCCTGCTTCCTGAACCCCTGTCCCAGTCTTGAACCTCCTCCTGCCCCAGACATGAGTTCCCCTGCATCCAAACTCCTTCCTAGAGCTTGCACCATGACCCCCCTCCTGGACCCCAGTACCCCACCCTGGGCTAAGCTGGGAGCACCTCCCATACTCCAAACCCCTTGGCCCAAGACTAGAGCCTGCACTCCAACCCCTACACAGCCTAGTGCAAGTGAATGAGGATGGGGGAGGAAGTGGGATGGAGTGAGCAGGGCGAGGCCTCGGAGAAGGGGTGGAAGGAAGTGGGACAAGGGTATTTGGGTTTGAGGGTAGCTTTTACGTTGCACTTAAATTTAAAAAGTGATCTTGTAGTTAAAAAGGTTGGAGGCCACTGTATTAGACTGATGACTTTTTTTGTGATCTCTGATTCAGTATGTTGGCTGACAGTTTAGGGATGTGAATGGTCAACTGATTAATGGGTAGGGGTTGGAGCATCTCCCTGCCTACCACAGACAGGGGCTGCTCCAGCTGGGGCAACCACTGCCTGTGGGGGGAAGGGGAGGTGCTCTAGCCCAGTGGCAGGCAGGGGGGCTGCTGCAGTTGCGCTATAGCACTCCCCCCTCTTAATCAGTTAAACAATATGTTTAACTGGTTAACCAATTAAATGGGATTTTACATTTACATTTTTTACTCCTGTAATTATAAAGAAGAAATGTAACAGATTTCAAAAGTATAATTTAAGCAAACGATTTAATGTGAGATTTGATAAGAGATGTAAAGTTGATAAGTTATTGGAAGTCTACTCAGAACAGCAGAAGATAAAGCTCTGGTTTTTGTGTAAGAAGAGCAAACAAGGTAATGCTAAAAAGGCAGAATGAGCACTCAATAGAGTAAGGAACAAGGACAGCAAGGAAGATTGGAGAAGTTAGTTAAGACTTAAATTAAATTATTATGATCAAAAATAAAAACTTGTGTCACAAGAATATTATTTATTTTTAGGGGTTTTTGTTTTGTACCAAAAGGATTCTGATTTTCTAATGATATAGCTTCCCAAATTATGTCTGTTGCACTTGTCTCAGCCACTCTCGGTTGGCATGTTTTTTGCAGGGTATTTTACACCATGGGCCAAGTTCATCCTTAGTAACTGCAGCTCCATTGACTTTGGTAGAATTGCATCTGCTTCCACTAGGGCTAAATATAACCCTGAATGATGGAAGGTACCATTTATTCAGTTACTGTTATGAACAATGTCTTAAGTTGAGACAACAGTTTATCATCATTTATCTCCCAAGCATTAAATAGTGTATATTAAAATAAAATGTTTCTCTTCCATTCCAATAAACAAGTCTCTACAGTCTTCCTTCCATAAATATAAGGGGTTTGAAGCTGCAAGTTTTGATTAGTTAGGCTTTCTCTAGGGCACCTTCTATATTTAATCATTGTTTGTGCTTTTAACAAGTTTTTTAAAAACTGTTCTTAAGATATCTTCAGCTAACACATTTTGCCATCAATCTGGATGGTAATAAATTTATAAAAATGTATGTCATTCACATTAGCGCCTAAACAAGAAATATCTTTACTGAAAATCCTTTCTTATTATATTTTAATCTTTGTTTTAAATCTAGCTTTCAAGAGTTTTGAACCTGCCAGCAGAACATTTGATAAAGTCAATATCTGCAGTCCCTGTCTCTAAAAACCGGTAAAGTGTTTGTTTTATATTCTAATAAATTATTTTTATGGTGCTTAATACTGTAGAATCTCAGGACTTGTCTTCACAGAAGATTGATGCTGCTGTGATCGATCTTCTGGAGTTTGATTTAGTGAGTCTAGTCAAAACTTTCTAAATTGAACTCAGAGGGTGCCCCCTCTTGCATCTGGTACTCCTGCTTTTGTGAGTAGTAAGGGAAGCTGATGGAAGCATTTGTTCCTGTTGGTCTTCCACTGTGGGGACACCTCCTAGCTTGGCTTAAGGTATGCCGACTCTAGCTACACATTTTTCATAGCAGGAGTTTTGTACCTTAAGCTTAGCTGCCAGGTCTAGTGTAGACCTGGCCTCAGTGAGGGTTTTAGGGAAATATTAATACAAAAAAAAATCAAACAATACTGGCTAATATGAAGATTATCTACTATATATTTGAGAAGGTTTATATGTCCTGTCTGGTCAGTTGGTCTGTTTGTTCAAGAAATCCTCCTAAACATTAAGAGCTAGAACCACCAAATTTTGTATAAAGCTTCCTCTTATCATAACTTAAAAAGCAAGGTAAAAGTTTGGTTGTGCCAGGAAAATGGAATGTGCTTCGAATGGGATTGCTTCTTATAAAACCATAGAGAAAAGAAACAGCATCACTAGGTAGGTGAAAGGGGTGGCTGGGGGTGCTCCCTCCTCCCCGTTTGAGACTGCTCTAGCCTTGAGCTTCCCACTCCCTAGGTGTCCTTTAGAGGAGGCGGAGAGGGCTGAAGTTCCCACTCACACCAATTCATCTGGGAACATTATTGGCTGTTTCCCTTTGCCAGGGAGAGAAGGACAAGTGTACAGTTTGCTGCATTTCTCACTCTGGCTGGGGGGCAGACAAACCTGGACTTGCCCCAGCTGAGGGACATATACCCCTTCCCTAGTTGTGCCCGCTGGAGCTGCAGTGGCCATAGAGAGGCACTTCTCACCAGGCCCCAAGGTGCTGCTGTGCGAGAGGGCTGGGATAGTCCTCTCTCCCTGGGCCAGCCTGCATACGGAACCTTTCATCCCCATTTCTACTCCAGAGCAATGATTTAAATGACGCATGTACATTTTCATTTTATTTTCCAAAAACCAAAAATAAATTGAATTAAGGACCCGAGTAATGCCGAATATATGTAGTAATTTATATTTATCCCAATCATAGAGGGACACTTAAATACGGCTCACCATTTAATATTTTTTTAAAACAAGCTTTTAGGAACATCAAAACCAGCAGAGTCAGTTTGATATTAAAAAATACATATGAAATAAATATCCCACTGTAGTGCCTGAAAGGCAAATATTATAGCACTAAAAATCTGAAAGTGAAATTGATTAGTAATAAAAGTGACATTCATATTGATTGATTTTCATTCTCGTGTTTGAGAGATGCAAAAAGTAAATTGGATTTTATTGCAAGTGAAAGAATTCTTAATATAAAATGTTATGCTCTTAATTCATATACAAGGTGAATGCAGTAATTAGGGGGAAATGTACCCATGCACCACTATAGATTGGGCCATTCAATAGCCAGGCACATGTTCAATATTATCAATCTAGACAGATCCTAGAATTCTCCCTGCACTGTGTTCTTCATCCTACAGATGCCTACTCGCTGGTATAGAATTGGGTAATCTCATTGATGTCAATGGAGCTATTTAAATCTTTAAAATTAGCCATGTTTTTAAGTATTTTGCTGCATCTTTTTATAGGATCAGAACCCAAATAAAACCGCATCACCAATATGCAGCCACTGCTGGAACAGAGGACTATAAACCATGATCACATAGTATGCAGCACAGCAGTTGAGGATGGGGGAGCCTACTACCATTTTCTTAACCTGCACAGTTTGCCTGACAAAACAAGCTAATCAAATAATTCCAGCTATTCTCCAACTGCTCTGCAAGTAGGGAAATAATATATGTGCAGTCTGTGTGATTGCATTAGTGAATATTTTTTTCCTTAGCCAGACATCATAAATGTTCAATTTTGTCCTTACTCCTTTGAACTGACCAGGAAAAGCCCCATACCCTTTATGCTTCTGTAGATTACATACAGTGGTCATCAGCTGACTCCAGTATCATTTAGCTTTTCACTTGTCTACCTAATAAATAATGTTATTCCTTTTAATCAAATACTGAAATTAACAAGTGGTTATTGGAAAACATCTATTAAAGTTGCATTATTACTCATATGAAAGTGTAATATGTTCTTGTGGTTCTTCTAGAAGGATTTGGAAAACTAACAAAAACATGTTTGTTTGATGCTTTTTTGTTATTTGATATGAAGACTTTGAATGCCTAAATGCAGTTATTCCATGCCAAACTGGACTGTTACCAGTTAGTGAATTATACATTTTAGTAATAGCAAATTCTGTTTTTTCCCCCATCTCAATTTTTTATGTCTTTCTTCAGGCCAGGTGCTGATTTCCAGCTATTTGTGGGTTCTGTGGTAGAGAATAAGTCTAGTGATTGCTCAAAGCCAGATCTTCAGCTTCAAACTCAGAGGCTAGCAGAGAAGGTACACTGGCACAGTAAGCTTCTTTATTTGATACAATAACAAGCTTATTAGGTAAAGGAAATGTAGCTAATTCCTTAGAGAAATGGTATTTATGCACAAACTGCTCCTACTGATTCCATTGACATCTGTGCCCTGTTGAGTGAGTATAGACTAACAGCAGCTATTTGGCTCAATTGCACATAACATCTTCATTGGAAATGAGAGAAACAGGGTTAAATAACCGTACTATAAAATCATGTCACAGTTTGACTTAAAAATAATTTGGGAGCAATTAATTATTAATTGTTCAGTGTGACATTGGAAGGTGACTTTAGTGTGTACAGAGGCCATTCTGAATCCATACTATTCAGTATTTTTCTTAATGGTTTAGAGACTGTCAAATCTGTGGATGATACAAAACTGATAAGTATCACAATACTTTGGCAAATAGGATTATACTGTAACAGGATGTGATCTAAATACATTGGGAAATGGCTTTACCATGAAAAAATGAGATTCACTAAAGATGAATATAAACTAATATGCAAAAATAGGAATAATCAAATATACTAGCATAGAAAGATGTGCATAAATATTGCAGAAGGATGGCATTATTAGTATCTGTAATGAAGATTGTGGAAGTCACAGTGATTTTCTGTGACCTCCATTACTTCTGCAGTAGCCATTGTGGATGATCCTAGGGCTGCCCAAGCAGCTGACTCCAGGGATAGCTGCTAAGGAGGCTTCAGAGATAGCCACACTGACCACTGCTGGGGCAGCTCAGCAGCCAACCACTTGAACAGCCCCACAGCCAGTCACACCGGTCCTGTGGAGCATCTCACCAGAGCAGAACCCTGTCTAGAATCTTTCACAACAGCACACCCCCCCACACACACTTTGTTCTAAGATTTAGTCAGGAATATTTATAGTAAAATTCACAGGCAGGTTACAGCCATATTTTTTATTGCTCATGACCTGTCCATGACTTTTACTAAAAATACCTGTGATTAAATCATAGCCTTAGTTGTGCAAGACTGAAAACATTGTCCATGCAGTTTTGTCACAAAATGGGTAAATGCTCAGAATGAGTTATACTGACAGAGAAGCATCACTTGTAAAAACAGCTGAAGTAATGATTGAGTACTGGTTAGGCTTTATTACAATATTGTGTTTGGCTTTGACACTACACTTCCAACGGACTTGAGAGAGGTTAAGAAAAACAGCAAACAAAAGGGTTGGCAAGTGAGACTCCAAGAGAAGAAGGTGAGGAGACAAAGGCATAGAGCCTGTTCTGATTTACACTGGCTGTCAGTGGTCCCACGGAAGCAAGGCACCAGCTGAGAGTAAAGGAGCCCACCCTTTATTGATGGCCAACAAAAGGTCAGTGTAGGAACCAATATCCTTGCTGTGCACTACCAAGGAATAGCGCCTATACATGGAGAATCCTCCGTTGGCCAGCTAAAATCATTTTAAGGCAGTCAGACTGAGACATTTGTTAAATAGATCAGTAACACAACAGTATCTGTGTATGTAAGGAGGATAGAATGCAAATGACAACTGAACTAGAACAGGGATGGGATAAGAATACAGAGATATATGTTCTGTAAAATCAGAAGAGTGTCAGAATAAGGGAGTAGATAATAAAGGTACTAGTCAAGACTATAAATGTCTGTATCCTAACATAAGAAGTTTAGAAGCAAAAATCAGTGAAAAAAACAGTGTTTCAGTCAGCAATGATCTTAATTGGCATTATGTGGAATGATAAAAAACAATAGAGATATTGTAATACCTGGTTTTGAGATGTAATAGTGGAAATGTGTTAATGGTTAACTGATGAGCCCGGGCTCATTGGTTAACCTTCACGGTTACACACAGACATCTCCCCTCTGCCTCCTGCCCTGCTGTCGCCTCTGTATCAGAGGCAGCAATGCAGGGCAGGGGGAGGGTGGCAGACGGGAGCCAGTGTAAAGCAGGCTGCCCAAAAGCACCAGCTCTTAGGGAGCTGCCTGCCTCCCCAAGAGCGGGAGTGGCAGGTGGGCGCCAGTACACTTGGGGAGCCAGCTTTTAAGCCAGTTCCCCACACATACTAGCTCCCACAGGAGCTGTCCCTCCCACCCCCATGTAAATGTGTAACTGCTGAAAATTTCATTGATTATACATTTACTAAAATACACACATTTTAACATCCCTAGTTAAAATGTGTATATTTTAGTAAATGTGTAATCAATCAAAAACTATACAGGATGGACCAACTAGGCCAAAGAAGTTAGAGAATAAAGCTGTATCTCAAGGATTGAATAGATTATAGTGAGATAAAAATGCTGAGAGGTCCACACAGTTGAATTTCTATGGATATAATTCCTAAACTGTAAAAATATAAATATATTAGTAGGACAGTCCTACTAATCTCCAGATCAAGAATAAGAAATTGAGGACACAAAGTTGAGATGCACCAAAGGGGCAGTAAAAGCTAACAAAATGAGAATGGGCGAGGCTTCAGCTGCCCCCATATTAACTGGTCCAATGACACAGCAAGATAAAGTTCAAAGAAACAATATCTTGACTCTTTGAAACACTTATTGGAACAGCTAGATCTAGAGCAACAAGAGATTATTCTCGATTTAGTTTTAAGTAACATCCAAGAGCTAATTTAAGAAGTAAAAGTAGCTGGGCTATTAAGTAAGAGAGATCACAATATAAGTAAGATTCAGCATCCAAGGGTAAGGTAAAGCCCCGCACAAATGACCTAATGAAAAGGAGATTTCAGTTAGTTGAGGAAGCTTGGCAAAAAGGCCCTATAAAAAGTAAAGGAAGTAAAATTCGTAGAGATGGCATGGTAGATACCTTAAAAGTAGCATCTCAGAAGGCATGCATGGTGCCGAGCAAAAACAGAACCTGCATGTCAAGGAATCAACCAAACTGACTAACTGATAAAGGTTTGAGAGTCTGAACCATACAGAAAGCCTTCAAATTTGGAAGTCTGATCCTAGTGAGGCCATTAAACAGACACATGAATTAAGCATGCATATAGTAAGAAATTATCAGGGCCAAAATTAATTTCAAAGCACAAATAGCCAAAGGTGCTGAGATGTTGAGGAGATCCTAACCACAGCCCTTTTCTGGTAATAAAGATGAAGTGCTCTCTAAGATTGAGGTAACAGAAAAATAGCTGTTGGAGCATTTTGATTTCTTAAAATGCAATCACTAGACCTAAATGGCACCTTCTTGATTTCTGAAAGAGCAATGACTAAGTCTACATGATTTCTGAAAGAGCATAAATGTGATGCAGCTGAGTTGTTAACAAAAATAGGTATTTTCTCATTTTAAAACAGCTACTATTCCGGATTATTAGAGAGTAGCAAATGCTGTACAGGCAGTCCCCAGGTTATATACAAGATAGGGACTGTAGGTTTGTTCTTAAGTTGAATCTGTATGTAAGTCGGAACTGGCGTCCAGATTCAGCCGCTGCTGAAACTGATCAGTTTCAACAGCGGCTGAATC